TTTTTTTTTTTTTTTTTTTTTTTTTTTTTTTTTTTTTTTTTTGTAGTTAGACTTCACTATTCATTTACTGTCAGATTGAAGCCTTGCACAGATCACTGTAAGGTTTTGGGGTTTTGGGTGTTTTTGTTTGTTTGTTTGTTTGTTTGTTTTTTTAACTTTTAGTTTTGTTGAACAGCCAGTCTCTGAAGTTTTTTTGTGAGGAACTGAGATCCTGAAAGCCATGGCAAGTGGAAGGGATGTTGTTCTTTCTCCTATGATTGTTTCAGTTTTGAATCTGTACTAACATTTAAAATTGTTTCTGTTTCAGGATTATTGAGCTGAAAGAGATGGTATCAGATGTCAACCTCAGTTTTAACAAGCTTTCCTTTATATCCCAGGAATTTTGCTTGCTTCAGAAATTGACATTTTTAGATTTAAGGTACTTGACAATACTGTTACCTGACACCTTAAAAATTATGATTCATTTTTGAGTTTTTATATTGTATTTTCATTGGTGAGTATGGAATCTGGTTTTCAGTGTATTGACTATTTTAGTTATTTAGGTATTTTAACCAGTCTGTCATTGTAAGTAGTTTATAACTTAGATCTGAGATAAAATTATCTAAAACATTCTTAATCAACGTATTCTTTAGATTCATGCCTAAGTGAAATGACAGTTAATGGAAAATGTCTTCTTCGTGTTGTTTGTTTATGAAGTAGACAATGTAGACAGACCAACACTCTCCTTTGCTGCTCCCCTGAGGAGCCCGCTTGCTTCCCATTGGGACATTAAATAGACAGAAGTCAAGCAGAGGAACCCTGACTGAGCAGAGACAGATCCTGCCTATGCTTGTTGGGAATGATAGCAAGCTTGATTTAAACAAATGCAGTGAGAAACTGAAAGCTCAGAGTGACACCAATGTGTGGCTGTTGCAAGCTGTGTTTCTGTTGCCTACACTGTTAGCAGGAGTACTCTGGCTGGCATGAAGGACAGTTGAGGCAGGAGGGTTTGCCTGCACCAAGTATGGAGCTTTTTCCTGCTCTGGCGTTTCAGAGTCTAAAGCTGGTGGAACAGAGGGAAGGGAGGTCCCATGGCTGTTGTCGTTCTGTGTGTGTATCCCAGGCTTTTGTGTATATGTCTCTCCTTGTAACTGTTCTGAAGTCTCTATGAGAAGGATTACATTTGCTTACATGTCTGACAGCAGAAAGACTAGAGGAAAGAGAAGGACATCTGTGGGCTGTGCATAGAAAAGGAAGAATGCCGGAGAGTGGCTTCAGCCCCTAAAACACGTTGAGCCACACTTCTTAGGGTCCCTAAAATGATCAGATTAGTAAGAATTGACAAGTACATTTGTGTTTTTTTTTAATTCCTCCTGAGTTTTAAACTTGTAAGTTTTCAAATTTTAAAAATCATGCTTTGATTTTCAATTTAGGAATAATTTTTTAAATTCTTTGCCCGAAGAGATGTCATCACTGACAAAACTGCAAACAATCAATCTTTCTTTTAACAGGTAAGAAAACATGTGGGAGGGGAGTCTGCTAAATAAGAAACATTTAGTTCTACCATATCTCGCTAGCAGATCTTATTTTTATTTCATTCTACTGAATGTACTGTTGCTTAGAATTCTTATGATCAGTGCTGAGCTGGTTGTAGTTGTTACTCCTTCCACCACTCTGAGAAACTCAGTCTGGAAGGAACACAAAGGTCTGACTAATTGTGGGTGTTGTAGGGGAACGATGGAGAGCTTTTGAGATGCCTTGAGGTAAACACCGAAAAGCAGATGTTAGCCAGGAACACCATCTCTGGCACCTGGCGGTTTGGTCTGGTCAGTGAAGCCAGTGTCTATGACAGTTGTTCATCTTTAAAAGAACACAGAGTGCCTTTGTCTGGAAGCCTCAGGCAAACAAAGGAAAAAAAAAAAAACACCTCACATTTTACTTAATTAGAAGTGATTAATAATAAATAAACGTAAATTAAGAAAGAGTACCCTCCTGAGGGTGGCCTTCAGAGACCCAGAGAGATGTCACACCCATGAGTGGGTGACTTAGCCTCAACTTTTGTTTGATTTTTTACAATCAATAGTACCTTGTATGTCTGCTGAATATATATTCCAAAGGTAGTTTCTTATTTTCTGGAAAAATTGAATATAGGACTTAAACCACACTTAAGATCATCCATTTTTAAGAGTGATTTGGCTTCTAGCCCATTACACAGAGGTGTCCTGTTTGTATCTTGATAGATTCAAAGTGCTGCCTGCAGTTCTGTATCACATTCCCACATTAGAAGCAGTTCTCATCAGCAACAATCAGGTTGGCTCCGTGGACCCTCAGAAGGTGAAACTGATGGAAAACCTGAGCACTCTGGACCTTCAGAACAATGACCTCCTGCAGGTTCCCCCAGAGCTCGGAAACTGTGTGCAGCTACGGTAACTTCCCTCCTCGAGGGCTTCCAATTGATTTGTTGATTGCTTTTTTCCTTGCAGGAAATTGAAATAAGAGACTTAATACCTTGTAACAATAGTAGTTAACCAAACAACTAATTTTTCTTTTCAATTTTTCCAGATGTTTTCTAGCTTTATGTAACTGTGTGTGTGTGTGTGTGTGTGTGTGTGTGGGTGTGTCTGTTGGTTTGTGTGTGTGTGTGTGTGTGTGTGTGTGTGTGTGTGTGTGTGTGTGTGTGTGTGTGTGTGTGTGTGTGTGTGTGTGTGTTTCATTTGGGGCAAAGGGCAGCAAGATCTGACCCTCCTTAGCCTTGCTCAGGATTTCTGAGTCCGTTTACAGAGCACCTAGCTCCTCTGCTCTCCTCACTTGCTTCTCCCTCAGCCCCTTCTCAGCTCTCAACCGTGACCAGTTTGGTCTCCCCTTTGAAGCCGACCCTCTTCTCCACACAGAATTAATCCCAGTGTGCTTTGGGGTCCATCTCTTCCATTTTTTTAAAATTTTTTAATCCGGGGTGAGGGGAGGGAGAGGGAGAAGGGACTTTTTTTTTTAATTTTTTTAATCCGGGGTGAGGGAAGGGAGAGGGAGAAGGGACTTACATGTGAAACAAGCTTGTTCCCTAACTTGAACTAATAAAAAAAAAAAAAATTAATCCAAAAATCAGTTGTAATAAAGCTTCAGCTATCCTAAGCTCCTAATGAATGCTGGTTAAGCAAACAGAAGAGGGGTATGAGGTGTCAGCTAAAAGCTGCTTCATCCTGGGATACCACTTGTCAGTTTTTGGCTGTTCACATTGCCGGGGTGGCCCTGGTCCCTCAATTCTAGTGAATTGTAGAAAACAAATACAGTTGCTTATATTTGTAAAACAAGCCTCAGTGTTGTGTAGTTAGAAACCCCATCAGTATGAAACACATTAATTTATTACTTCCTCATGAATATGCAGCTATAATTTATGCCTGAAAGAAACTTAGCATGTTTTTCTGTAGGTACATTTGTACCCATGAAAACTAAACAGCATTTTAGAATCGTTATGTGAAGGCTGTTTAATTTATTTATCATTTTGGTTTTTCGAGACAGGGTTTCTCTGTGTGGCTTTGGAGCCTATCCTGGCACTCGCTCTGTAGACCAGGCTGGCCTTGAATTCACAGAGATCCGCCTGCCTCTGCCTCTCGAGTGCTGGTATTAAAGGCGTGTGCCACCAACTCCCGGCTAATATATTTATCTTATATTATTTTTATGTTAGCTTTTGAAACAAGAATCTCACTATATTGCCCAGCCTAGACTTACTTGAGCTCCATACCTGCCTGCCTTAGTTCCTAAATGCTGCCTTAGTTCCTAAATGCTGTGGTAAGCAATTTTGAACATTAAAACCATAAGCCAAAAGTACAAAAATTTGCAGACCGTAGCACTGAGTAGGCCCCAGGAAGGATGCCTGATTGCAGTGCGATTATAAGATGTCCTGTGATTTCATGGGACTCATGCCCTTGAGTGGCATCAGTTTTCTCCAATTCTGGGCATAGCTTCAAATCCAGTAATTTGGGGTTACAGACAGTTTTGGAGTGGGTAGATCTACACCGTGAGAATCAACTGCAATTCTTTATTTTGTAGAAGCTTAGTTAAGTGTTTACAAGAATCCCCAAGTAACATGGGCATACTTGAAGAAATGTAAATGAGCCTTATAATGTGAGTGCCTTTGATTTTTGTTTACATAAAAATTTGGTTATTAAAGTCTTTTGATCGAATGCATTTCATTAATCCATAAGGAAACAAAAGAACCTGCCTTTAACTCATAAATTTTGCCTTATTTCCAAACATGGAAGTAGACTTTGTATGTGTTCCTCTGGTCTGGGGAGGGAGCGCAGATGTGTGAAAGAACCTACTGGGGTATAAAGTGAGCTGTGACTGCGGTGTCCTTGGCATGGATCCTTGTCAGTTTGTTCATTCTCTTGCTTAAATCTATTTTATTATTTCATGTGTGGTCATGTAAAATTGAGAGTAATTCAAATCACAGACCCATCATTTAGCAGCTGTTTATTCTAGATAGGCCTCTTTCTTCCCAGATTTGTCTTTCCATCTTTAGCATAGAAATATTAATGATACCTGTACCATAAATCTGTTAAAACCAACGGAGTCAGTGAATGTGCCTTTTATGTGAGTCACCCTGTGCTGTTAGACATTGTGATAATTCCAGCTGTCCCCATGTTTAGTTGTATTTGTAAGAGACACATAAGGAAAAATACGCATTTATAAAATTGCAAATGATGGTTTTATTTCATGAAAAGAGAATCACTAATAGAAATGCTTAATTTTCTTGGTTTTTTTTTTTTTTTAAAAAAATTTTTTTTTTTTTTGTTTTTTTTTTTTTTTTTTTTTTTTTTTCATTTAGAACACTACTGCTAGATGGAAATCCATTCCGAGTTCCTCGAGCGGCCATATTAATGAAGGGCACAGCTGCTGTGCTGGAGTATTTGAGAGACAGAATTCCTGCCTGAGGATAGCTGACATCTTATTCTGGTGGTCATTCTGGATAGAAGAGAGTCAGCCTCCAGCGACTGCTGTGTTCCCGGTGTCACTGTATTCACTCTCACTAAATGTTTACAGTTTGTGAAGTTTTTCAAACTCATCCCTTGTGACATTGAAATAACTTTTTATTTCATGGGATTTAATATTTCATAATAATAAGGCAGCCATCTATTTAGATCTGGATTCCTCCCGGTTACTTTTTATTTTCCAAATAATGTGAACTGAGCAAGACTGTATTACGTGTAAGCCAGCAAATTTTACTAAAGTATTATTCTTTGGCATTTAAAAGAAAATCAGACTTTTCATTCCCCAGGTTAGGACTTGCTGTGTGGTCAGTGTCAATGCATGTTTATGTGTAGGATTTTGGCTTTTAATTTTTTTAAACTTCTACATGTGTGGGCATCCTTTATTCCGGCCTGGTACTTCTTATTTCCAACAACATGGTTCCCAAATCTGCTTACAGCCTGATTAAAGCTAGACTGTCAGTTTTACAGTGATTTTTCTAAAAGGGAATTAGTTATATACAAGCTTGATTTAATAAAAACCAAATATAAACATTGTTGTTTACACTGAAATTATCAAAAGCAGGTTTATGAGCTCTTCTGGCTCACCATATGATTGTGTCAAGAAGCCAGTTCAGAAGTAACGTGTGTCGGGGCGGAGGTAGACAACTTACAGGTGGTTGAGGTTGTTGATGTTAGGAAAAGTCGGTGCTAATCAAGATACATGCTTCATGTCCATAATAAAAGTTACGTTTTTAAGATATCAGTACAGTGTTTTTTGTTTGTTTTAAAAAGAAACACCTTTTTCGTGTCGTAGCTCTTTAGCTCACAATCTGCTTCCATAGTAAACCAGACACTGTGTAATAAGGTGATGTTTTATTATTTATACAATAAAGAGACTTATGTTATTCAAAACACTTTTTTTTAAATACTGAAAAATTTGAGTACAACAGAACCTAAAAAATGGCTCTGCTATACACCGCACAGCGCTGTTATCTGTACAAAGCGCATCTGCAGATGCTCCCAGACCTCACCCTACCCTTAACCCATAGTGTTAGAGCATAAGACACAGCTGGAGAGCATAGATCACACTTGCAAAGTCACTGGCTTGGCAAAGTTGAAATACAGGTTAGTGGAACTTTGCACATAAAATTAAACAGCTTTCAAGGTTCTTATGGTCTCATATGGCAAAAAACCATGAAGTACATTCACAATCTATGTTAGTAAATTAGTGTTTCTTCATTCAGTTTTATTTACATCAATATGTATTTCAACTAAAAAGTACTGTTAATCATGGTACATTTTTTAACACATACAAAAATGACAACTTTTATATATAATTTTAAGCTCAAAATCACAATTATCTCAAAATATTAATTACAATACAGCCATTTCAATTAAACATATCATGGTTTGATTTTTTATATAAAATGGTAAACTTTATTATTAAAGTAAGCAATTGGTTTTGAATTGACTAGAGTACACCCAAGTAGAAAATCTAAATGTGATGTGTGAGGTGTTTGCTGCCCCTCCCACCCAGTTTGTAAAGAGCCACCTTGGCCAGCAAAGAGACGGAAAAGGCCCCAGTTTATAAATATTGAGCCTCATTTGCTAAATTGCCTTGGCTTCTTGGTTCTTTGTAAAAGCTCTACAAAGGGAGCGTCCATAGACTGCAGTGAAATGCATGCAATTATATACAGCGTGTAGAATGTCAGTTCACTGACAGACATCGAAATGTCCACATAGACAGCAGAGAATGGGCAGAAGGAGCGCTTCACCCGCTAGAACAGAGCTTTAGGAATGAGGTCCCAGTTGAAGCTCTGATGGGAGGAGCCCAGGTTACTGTGGATGTGTTACCTGGGCCCTGCACTTCCATAGTGAAGCCAGATCCCATCAGAGTATTGGTGTAGAGACCTGAAGCTGTGTCATCACTTAGGAATCTCTCTTATACCATTTATGAGAGTGAAATATTTAACTGGCTAATAATGACCTCAGCAATTCGTAGTGTTTGACACATGAAACATTAGAACTTACAGAATAAGGAAATAGATTTGTCTCCCACAAATTACTGAGGGCAATTCATCGATTAAACAGTTTTGAAAATGAAAAATGAATTTCATGAATATTAAAAAAAAAACAGTCTGCAGTGTGTTTTAATAATTCTTTGCAAACCTCTTAGAACCCCACCACTGTCTTCCATCAGTCTTCCAACCCCACCACTGTCTTTCCTGTTGTTTAATATTTCTTTCCTGAAAAGAATGAGACTGCAGTTCTTAGTTTTTCACACACAGCTGAGTGTGAGGTGCCCTTGGGTGACTGCCAGTAGGAAAGAAATAACCTATAGGACCTCACAATGGCCCTTACCTCTTTCAGTTCAACAGACCTGCCTCTGGCTTCCTGCTAGCCCTGGAGAGAGCTCTCCTCATGTGTAAACAGTGCCACATTCTTAAGCTGCCTTCAGTCCCTTCTGCTCACCGAGTGCAGAAAGAACTTGATTGCCTCTTCCAACAAAAGTTGTGTTGCTTGCCTATCAGTCACCTTTCCCTTCCAACAGGCATCACAGCAAAGGAAATGTCTAATTATCAGAGCAGAAGTAGGAAACATTCATTGCAGTCCATTGACACTGTCCTCAAAGCAAAACACAGTTTCCTAAGAGTTAAACAGCACCCAGCTATCCTGATCTAAGTCAGATGGCCTCTCCTCGGTCTGAGACCAGTGAGTACCCTCTGAGTAGAAAAAAAAAAAAAAAAAAAAAAAAAAAAAACGAGTATTGAAAATAATATTTATTCCAACAGTACATTCGGGCAAATACGGGAAATTCTTCATCTGCCTGAGAGATTCGTCTTGGTTTTTCCAGAGACTTCCAAAAACAAACAAAAATCATTTAAGATTTCCCGGTGAACTATTCTTTAGTAAAGGAATGGAAAGCTATGAAAAATGTGTTGTGTTGTCCGTGCGTCAAGTGCTTTCCTTAGTCTACCTATCAGACATTTTGGCTGGCCTGCCATACCCAGGCATCATTCAGCCTCAGACTCCAGCTGTGCAAAACAAACTAGCAAAGAAAAATGTGTGTCTAAAAGACACAAAACCTGAGTTGCAATAAAAGGTTTTAATATAAGAAACTTTTTAATATAGGAAAATAACCTTTGAACAGCCAAAAATACATTTATACAATATAAGCAGCTAACTTGGTGCTTAAGTGTCCCATAAGACTAATCAAGAAAGAGATCATTTACATTTATTTGATCGTTTTTCCTAACGATAGTTAAGATAACCACATTTTATTTAATATCTATTTTCATTCCCCTGAATTATTTTTTCTTTAAAAAAAAAATCTGCACATATTTGGGTAATTCCTGTTCAGTTTCTTACAGTAGGCCTGTTGCTCCCTGGGCACTGAAGCAGTAGTTGGGGCTGCCAGTGCCAAGCCACAGAGGAACCTAAAGTTAAACCTTTTGATGTGGGGGTTGGGCTTTCTGCAGACTCTTTTCCCCATATCTACACACCATTTCCTTTGCTTCAGTAGATTTTTTGTAGGTGCTAGGAATTGAACCTAGGACTTTGTATCCCCAATCCTTACAAGATCTTACTATGTAGTCCAGACTGGCCTCAGACTTGTAATGCTTTGGCCTTATCCCCCATTGCTGGGATCATAGGCATGCTTCACCAGGCCTGATGCAATTGCTCGCCTTTTCATACTTGATAATAAATTGTCTCAACTGAAGCTCCCCTGTGTGCAGGCAGCTGCCAGGACCATGCCTGCTTTCCACACCTGAGTCTTCCCTTCTTTTCAAGAGCTTAGAGCTTGGCTTCTGCATTTACGTACTGGGAGGAAATCTGCTTAAATGCCATTAGACCCTGACTTTAAGGCTCAGTTCAGGACATATACCAAGGGCAGTTTTGATAGGAATTGATTGAAAGTCACTTTTCTGTGCAGCTGTGAAGGATGCATTCATCTTATTGACACTTGGAAGAGGAAAGCCATAGGAACCCTAAGGTTAAGTCCTTGAAGCTATGGTTGCCTGGAAAGGCCTCTGTACATGAGAGCCTCGGGAGGTACGGTGGGAAGTAAATATAAGAGGTAAGAAAATGTCATTAGCAAGAGGACTCCAGTCTCTGCTTACCTAAAACAGATTTCACATTGTGCTGCAAGCCAACAGCAGTTACACTTTCTCTGCCAACAGACTTGTTGCCATGGAAACTGATGCAGGAAAATGAAAAATATGACGGAGTAAGGAATTAAATCGGAAAAAAAATGATGTAGTTGATTGCTGCATTGCTGTTTAAGCCTTTGGAGTTAAAAGAAAATGTATCTTGTCTGGTTAGATCTTTGAAAATAAACAGAATGTTAATGGTCCCAAGGCAGATGCAGAAGAAATGAGAAAGTGGCAAGCTTACTTGGCTAAAGGAACTCTGTAAAACTTAGTTCCATCCCTGATAAGTTAAGCTTCTTAGCCCCTTTGTGAACTGTGTGGGTAAACAGGCAACCTGCAGAAGACTTTAGCTCAAAGCCCAGGCACACCACCTGACAGGATTATTGCATACCTCATGTTATTGCTTGACGCAGCCTCCCAAGAATTCAAAATCAAAAGCCAAAGAACAACAACAAAATCCATGACTTACAAATCCATCCCACCTCCCCCATGGCTAGGCAACCACCATAAGTAACTGAGGATTTAGTTTCTTAGGGAAATAAGTAGTTTCTCACGGAAACAGGTATTTCTCTTCACTTGATCAAAGCCTCCCTGAACACCGCCCTCTGGTACTCTCAACTTCAAGACAGACAGAGGATGCTGGAAAGCAGTTTCAGCTCTCATATGAGGGAGGTGGGTATGTGACTGTGACCCTGGGAACCACCCCTCTTCCTCCCAGCTAACCAATAGGCTCTTTTCTACAAGCATTAGCAGGGCAGATCCTGCAATACACTGGGATATAGGAAGGCCCAAGGGGGGTGGAGGGGGGCTAATTTCCAAATCACAGTGACATTTTTCACTTGCTCTCACCTGGGGTGACCATTCAAATACACATGACAAAACTGAACATTACATCCACCAGGCATGAAGTCTGGACAGAGCTAAGCCAGAGTTAGGCAGTTTTACCTATCCTTGGTGTCTAACAACAGATTGTTCTAACTGAAACGGCATCCTGGGAACCATCATCTCTCTAGAACCCATGTTCGCCAATGACTTCCTGACCTGTTTGTTCGAGCTCCTTTCTGAAGCCTTTCGAAGTGTCCAGAGCCCTTCAGAGAATTCTGAAATCTGTGAGGTACCTGGACACTCAGGATGGTAGTAAGCAGGCTGGAGCATGAAGCCTGGTATACGAAGACTACATTTCTTATACTAATACCCAATGAAGGTCAGGATTGAATAATCTGATGAGGGACTAATCCTGACAGTTCCACGGAGCTCCACTGTTCCTAAAGGCAGCAGGCAGATCTCTTCTGAGAGAGCCAAGCATATCTTGAGGTCTTCAGAAAGTAGCTGTGAGGTTGGCACAATGAATAGATTGCTGTTTCTATTTCTGTATGTGTGGTGTCTAAAATCAGTTCATGTCTAGAGGAAGAATGACTAACTTCAAAAGCTTTAACTGACCCTCTTCTGGTAGCTCATTCTTTGGGCAAACTTGAGCCTTTCTGAGAGGCCACCCACCTACTGTATATAGTAATTTTACCACATCCATCCCATAGACAAGAGTTCCATTGTACTAGAACTCCTGTTAGGTCCTAAGGACTAAAATTCTACTCCATTTCCTTTTGCATGTGTG